GTTTAGGAGTTTTTGAATTTTTTTTAAGTTATTGGTTCTAAGTCGTGTGTAAAGTGTAACGTTAACATTTGTAACAGTATGTATATATTTATATTTATTAACATTTGTATGAGTGTGCTATGCTTAGTTTATAATATATTTGTTAATATTGCAATGTATGTATAGTCACTTTATTTTTTAATATGCCTCGTGTAGATAAACAATGTAGATCAAAAGCGTGGGGAATTTCGTCCAAGTGGCAATCAGCCGTTTATTTTAGAGGCTAGAGCGCAGGGCGCGAATCCCGAAGACGTGGGTTCGATTCCCACAGCGACAAGAAACCATTCTTTTTCTACAAAAAAAAAATATGTTTAATCTTAAGTGCAGAGATAAGCACTATAAAATTTAAATTGTTATGACATGATAAACTATCGTTTTAAGTTAAGTTAGTTAAATGCTGCCTTTTATCTCACATATTTTTATCAGGCTACTAATATTTGTGGTTTCATATTTGGTACAATTTCGAGATCTTTGTCATTTGCTTGCATCGTTAAAAACTCTCCATTCGGAGAAGTCATCTTGACTGGTTATTGTTGACTATCATTGATGACTTGTGCTAGATGAACCTCCTGCATATTTTGTCTGGCTGCGATTATAATTTGGAGCTGATTACTGCAACTAGCTACATGCTCAGTTTCCATTCTCTCGATTTCCCTATTATATTATATATATATATATATATATATATATATATATATATATATATATATATATATATATATAAATATATATATATATATATATATATATATATATATTCATTTTATTTAAAGCATTTCGAGATCATCACAAGTCATAAGCCCTGCTCGCGGCTCTATATAAAACATCGCTTTGTATGGTGACTAATAATATACAGCGTGTCTTTACCTCCGCGACAATAAATGACACACGTCTAACGCTACTTGCCAATAATCATAAAAAAATATTAACGTTAAAATAAATCCATAATTAAAAAAAAATATTTTTCAAACAAACTAACGACGTAAAAAAAATTTGTAACATACAACTACAACTGACTGATTCATACATTCAATGACTTTTTCATTCGTTGCCACAGCGTCGCATTATAACTCTCTCCTTCTAACAGTATGTTTTGTCTCTTTTAAATTCATTTAACCCATTCATATTCTTTGTGACCTTTACAAATGAACTTTACATTACAGTTTTATACGTAAGGGTGTTCTAAAATTCTTTGTTTTGTAAAATTTGATAACTCTGCAAATTTTGATGTTTAAAGAATGTAAATCTTTAATACAATTTTAAAAATTTATCCTCTATATGTTTGTTCATTTATTGTCGCGATGGTAAAGACACGCTGTATAAGAATAATAGAATACATTGAGGCCAAGGATGTGTTGAAATGACTCTTGCTTTGCACCTTTTTATGTGAGCAGTGAAGTGGCAAACGAGTTAGCGGTTAACCTGATGTTAATTGATAACCGCCACCCATAGACATTTACAACATCCGTAGGGTTGCTAACGCGTTGCCACCTTTAAATAAAGTAGGTGTCAGCTAGCTCACTCACCAGGCGAAACGCAGAAGTGTAACTCTTCTACTTTACACCGGTCTGGACGGACCTGCCCATTGCACAACAGTGAACGCTTTTGCCTGGCCCTACTACAGTTAAAGTCCCTTAACTTTTACACTTAAATTAGTAAAGCTGTTTCCTATTAGATTAAAACAGTCCCACGTCTCAAAAAGCGCCATCAAAATTACTACAGCAACCATTCCTCTTGCTCAACACCTGGTCTCGCGATAAGTGAAGTCATCGATCACTTGAATTTGTTAGGAAAGCGCCTGTGCACTTTACCCGGAAGTTGCAGGTTTGAGTCCCGCGGACCCGAAATTTTTGGTACCCTCATTTACGAAAATTCACATTTGAAGTTTCACCTTGAGTGGAAAGACTTGCACTAAAAAATACAATCAAAAATGTGTCGTTTTTAAATCTATTTTTTAAGTTTTTTTTTTTCTAAATTATCGAAACAATGCTAAGTATTGATATGTCCATCATCTTCAGATAGATATTTAACAGACACTGCTTTCCAAAACCAGCTCACTATTGAAACACGAGGCAGCAAAAAATAATTCTATTTACTTGTTTAATAATAGATATACCCATGAAATTGCGGTTGTTCAGTAGTGGCCATTTCACAGTTTCTGATTGACAGTGAATTCTAAATTCAATTTTTTTTTAAACATTAAATTTTTCAACATCATTTTTCAGAGTAAGTCTTTTCTTTATTGATTACCAGCTTTTTATTTTCATTACATTTGAAATTTTTCCGTCATAATGAATACTTTAAAAATTTGTGTAATTATGGAATATGAGTTCCGTCGTGGTACCAATACCGCACAAATGGCACGTAAGATCAACAACTTTTACGGAGACCTTTACAATCGAACGCACAACCCGTAATTGGTTTGCCCCGTTCCGTTCTGGAAATTTAGACTTGAAAAATGAACCTCGTGGTTGTCTGGACACTGTAAACTATAATAAATTATTGTAGGTACAGGATGAATTAAAGGTAGGCTGATGATACGCAAACTACAGCCAACTAGCAGCCCCTTTTGATGATAGCATCAAAACTATATTGGCCCATTTGGAATATAAAAAAGCTTGATAGATGGGATGAAAGCTCTCCTTCATCCGCCATACTCACCAGATCTCACACCTACCGACTATTACTTTTTCAAAATTTGGACAATATATAACGAGAAAAAAACTTAATTCCTAAGAGACAGTACAAAATGCCTTTGAAGAGTTTGTTACCTCCCGTCCAGCTGATTTTTACAAGAAGAAGCATCTGACCGTGACCATGAGCGCTGGGAAGGGTTCGAAACGTAGAAAATTAAAATAAAATTAAAACGCGATAAAATCCCTAAATTAGTTTCATTTGATAGAAATTAAAAATTATTTTCACTTATTTCATACAAACAGACAATTTCATAAGTAAAAACCCAATATTTAGCACTTTTTGGACAAGAAAGTCCGATAGGTAAAGGTGCAGATCAGCGACACAGGTTTTTTTGTCTTATAAATATTTATAAACGATAAAAAACATACCCATTGCATAAATTATAAAACCACGTAAAGTTTGGTTCACTTAAATAATGTCTTTATAAAATAAAATATTATGATTAGCCTGGGCTATGGCTAGACACTTCGTTAAGCAGACGCACTCGTTCTATCAATTTAGTTTAAAAGCATTTATCAGACTTTTGTGAGCCAAAATTGTTTTCAAAATATAATCACTCGTCAAAGCAGTTGGCTAATATGTCGTTCTTGGGTTCTAAAATGTTTTCAGGTATGATTTATAAAATAACAGACTGGCTACAAAAATAACGTCAAGGGCCATACGTGCCTTCGATGAAACGATCTTTAAAATCATGGAAGTGGTTACTTTTTTTCGATTCCAGATCATTGCTTTCTTTGTTTTAAATTTTTTGTCGATTTGTTATTTAGTTATTTTTTTCCCTTTTTTTTAAAGTTCTTTCTTTTTTTTTTTGAAAAACATCAGTTCATATTTTCTTATCATAATAAGAACGAAAAATAACGAACGTAAGATCGAAAAATATTATTTATTTTTACATTACTCAGTAATTTGTATCTAAATGTAATTTCCAAAATACACGATTTACCAAAAAAAAATCGGTCCTCCGGGTACTGTAAATAAAGTCTAATAATTTTTTTGATTTTGAAACGTTTAGTCGTCGTGACATTTATTCTGCTCCAGAATTAAACCAAATCTGGGGTTTTTAAAATCTCAAGATAGATTTTGAAAATTATAAATTAGATTTATAATGCGACTGTTGATTTACTTTGTAGTATGTACTGCAGCTTGGGTAACGCCTCGCTGGTTCGAACCTCGGGGTCGAACTACTCGGCGTAATCGGCGTTAAACGGTTGGCCAACTGGCCAGCTGTAACTCTGACCGCAAAAGCGGCACTTGCGTACACAGGCCTATACACTGTCTCTCTCTCTCTCTCTTATAGAAAGCAAGCCATTTAAAGCAGTATTTATTATTATTATTTATATTTGTATACTTATTAATATATAAAGTTAATGTTAATTATAATTGAATTATCATATCATAATTAATATATACAGTATAATAAATAACATATTTAAATTTAAATATACATTTAAATTTATATTACATTATATTTGTTGATAATAAAAAAAATATTATTATAACTTAAAAAAATACTATTACAATCCTTCACTAATTAATCGAAAGGAACTTCGTTCCATCCGGGTGTCTTGACACCTCTCAATTTTTGTTTTAACAGAGTTTTCATGTAATTAACGTTAAAGAGCACACTTATGATTTTACACGTATCTATCAAAACAATTTAAGGACATATTTGTATCAAGTAGATCACACATCCATGTTGCCATCCATATATTATATCAAAAACTTAATTAAATAATACTCACGTTTTAACTAAAAATACTACACCGGCTCATCACTATAACGAGTCTGCTTCTGATCGATGGCTAGTTACGTAATTAAATATACGATTTTTTAAATTAGCTAAATAATAATTTTTATAGATTGATTATTTTCGTAAAGTTTGTACTCACGTAAATTATTTAATTCTTATAAATTATTATGTTCCTAAATTATTTATTTTTGTACTACAGCGTTTATCGCGTACAGCACTACACAAAAAACCTTAAGTTTATTTATTTAATAGTAAATTAGTAATTCGTCTAATTTTTAATGATAATCTTTAAGTATTTTTATCCTAACCCTAATGTCAACTTGTATCATAGACAATTGAAAATGACAGGAACCTCAGCATGGAGAACATTGTCCATGGCTAAATAGAAAAATTGACAGAATTCAAAATATTTCTATCTAACCGACACTTCCATTTAATGTTACGGGATTACTTACAGAGTAGAACTTTTTGTACATATTAAAATTCTTATTGACTTTAAATTACTATTATGACAATGAAGAACGAAGTTACTGACGCAGATGTATTAGAGCTAGAGAATAAATTAATGAGCCATGAAGCCTATGGAAAACCGTAAACATAATTTTATTTTCTTTTTCTTTTTCAACTGTTAATAATTTTTGAATAACTGTTATTGATTATATTTAGGTACAAATGGTGCCCCAAACACTTTGAACTCGGTTCGTCATTAGGTCGAGGTAAATTTGGACGTGTTCACATAGCCAGAGAAAAAAAAACTGGGTATTTAGTTGCCATTAAAACTTTGTTTAAATCGCAAATTGTGAAGTCTAAATGTGAGCGGCAGGTGATGAGAGAAATTGAAATACAGTCTCACATTAAGTAAGTAATGTGATTTTACAAGTTGCTTACTTATTACTAGCTGTGTATTTATTTTGCTAGTTCTTAACTTTTTAACTGTAACTAACTTCCAGACATCCGAACATTTTACGCTTGCTAACGTGGTTTCATGACGAAAGACGAATTTATCTTGTTGTGGAGTTTGCAGCGGGAGGAGAACTATACAAACACCTCACGAACTCTCCGAAGGGACGCTTTCCCGAAGCTAGAGCTGCTAAATATATTTATCAGGTGGATGTGACTTCATTGATTAATTAGTTTATATATATAATCCATTAGTGCTTACTAAAGTTTTCTATAATTTTTATTAATTTAACAGTATAAGTTTGTGATATTGTTATTTAGTAAATATTTATGGTTGCACTATATTTCATCAAATTTCAGAGAACATTTAATGCAGTATATATATATAACGGGTAATATATATTTATAATTGTATTTTCTTCCAATAATTTAATTCAGGTTGCCGATGCAGTTGAGTACTGCCACCAACGTCATGTTATCCATAGGGATATCAAGCCCGAAAATATTTTGGTTGCATTCAATGGAGATCTGAAATTGGCCGATTTTGGTTGGTCAGTACATGCACCATCAGAAAGGTAAATTATTTAGATTCATTGATTAGAAATACAAATTACTATAAATGTTGTATAGTTAGATAAATCATTTATTTTCTAGGATTCATACTATAAGAAACCCATTAAAGTATTAAAATGACTAATAAATTTTACTAAATTAATACCACTACCTATTTTAATTTTCTTTTCTTTTTGAAGACGCAAAACAATGTGTGGTACATTAGATTATCTTCCCCCTGAGATGATAAGAAGAGAAGTTTATGATGTATCAGTTGACCATTGGTGTATTGGTGTCCTACTATATGAATTCTTAGTTGGTAAACCACCATTTGAGAGTGAGCGCCAGGATACGACATATGCAAGAATTCTCGCTGTAGACATGACATATCCAGAATATGTACCAGAGGGTGCCAAGGATTTAATATCAAAGGTGAAATAAGTTTATTTTCAAATAAATTCTTTTAAAATATTTTATATATATTCAATATAGAATAAATTCATAATCAATCACATTTAAAAAGTCTAAAAATTTCTTACAGTATTAAGCCTATACATGTCCCACTGCTGGGCAAATGCCTCTCTGTAGAGAGGGTTATTAGGGCACAGCCCACCTCACTCCCAATACGGGTTGGTCGACTTCACATATCTTTGAAATATTTATGGATTATTCCGAAAATATGCAAGTTTCTTTGTTATGTTTTCCTTCACCACTGAGCATGTGATAAGTTGGCAATTAAAATTAACAATTTAATTAGTGCCCGCACGCGAGTGCCCGGACACTGGGCTATCACGGCTTGTTTTAGTCTGTCCTAATGTTTTTTAAATTTATTATAATATATATTAAATTCTCTTGGCATCAGTGAAATGATAGAAATATTTAACATTAAATATTATTATGCTGGTATTTTTTTATTATAGTAATTATTCAAACATTAATGAACATTGTGCTTGTAGATCATTCCAAATAGTGTTTATATAAATATAGCTCATTGCACTAAATGAATAGTCTTAATCACAAACATAATATTTTATGTTTTTATTTCAGCTCCTTCGGTATCAAAGTAAAGAAAGATTGTCACTTGATGCTGTGAAAAATCATTTCTGGGTGCAACAATTTTATACTGGGCATGCCTAACACATCATTAAAACTTAATGTGATAGTATTTATTGTAGTCCCTGTTATCATTTACATTTATTCTATTTAGCATTATGGCTTAGGTTCTACAAAAATCAACATTTATTATTTAATCCAGCTTAAAACATAAGAAGTAACTACAAAGTATAGCCAAAGTTTATAATCCATTTAAGTCCATCTTTGCTATTGCCTATTGGTTTGTATTCTAAGCCTATCCAGTCATGGTAGCCGTTAGATTCTAAGTTTTCTAGTATATACTTGTAGTTGATTTCTCCTGGAGTATCAGGTTCATTTCGATGTGGTACTTGAGCAATCTGAAGGTAAACAATAAACTTTTAATATCACATTAAACTGTATGAAATGAGGGATAATTATAAAAATTATGTGTAATACCTGTACATGCCCTACGTAAGGCATAAGACTTTTGATGTTATATGACAAATCCCCACAGATGTGTTGGAGATGAAATATATCCAGCTGAAGCTTCAAGTGTGTGCTATCAATTCTCTTTATTATGTCCACAGCTGTAATATTATATTATTTCTTTTAAAAATGTTGTTTCATTTATATATAATTTCTTTTAAAAATGTTGGAAAAATAAAAACAAAATTAACATGTATACTTTTAAATGGAATCTACAGCTATATAATGTAACGTTTAATATAATTGTAAATATATTACTTCTATAACTTCAATGTTTATACTTATAATAAATGTCATTTAAAATTGTTTTATTAATCTTATTTGATTCCTTCTTACTAATGCTTTTTAGATACTTCTTACCTTTTTCATAATCACTTAGAAAGTATTTAGGCACAGAATGTTGATTTATGGGTTCTATCACACCTAAAAGGTTAACTTGTTTCAAGGCTACAGCTGCATATTTTAAATTATTCTCATATGTCTCCCAATTTCTTGGTGTAGCATTTTCTAACTTTCCCGCCATTATATGTATCTTTTTAGCACCAAGAGCTTTTGCATAATCTATTGTGACTTTAAGGTCTTCCCTGAAATCATTCTCTCTACCAGGTATCGCCGTCACACCTAGTTCGCCCTTACTTACATCACCTGTAATATTAATAAATTTATTTTAAAATAAACAATTTTAATTATTCAAGGTCTTCGTGCATTTGTATTTTGAATGAATTAAGTATTTAACATTAAAACAAAAATTAAAATGTATATGTAGAAAAATATAATTCTCACCGGTTTTGAGGTTAATCAAAACCTGCTCTACACCAGAACTCTCTTTTGCCCGTTTCACTTGCTCCAACGTATGACCAAAAGGGAAACCGGTTTCTACGGCTTTGAAACCAGCTTCTTTCGCTAAAGAATACCGCTCCAATATAGTTGCCCCTTCCGTAAACATAAAGGAAAGGTTTGCGCAAAACTTCATTTTTACTAATATACACCAAGGAACGGTGAATGTTGTTTATACTAGAATTTTTGATACAATAATTTATATCTGTGTTAGGTTATATTTATAGCTCCGCACTAACGTCAACTGCAAGTAGATAATTATTTTATCGAAAAGAAACCGCACTATCATCAGCATAACGTACCGCAAACAAACATGTGAACTTTCTGATAATGATAACCTTTTATATTCGTATTATTTCATTTGAATACTGTGAACTTGAAGTAGAATGAACTTTAGCTGTAATTGTTTAACTTGAGCTATTCTGTGCTTTTGAATACGTATACTGACGACTTTTACACTATGTGGACAAAAACCTAGTTGACAACTATTTATACGGTAATCATAAAAACCATAATAATTGTTTAACAGTATCAAATCCATTTGGCTCGCATTGTGTTTACAAATATTACATACCTACCTATCAACGTCGTAATTTACTATGTAGATATGTATACACTTTACAACGATACATAGATATGAAATATGTATGCGATGTGCGACTCGACTTAAACGAGTCAACTCGAGTTCAGTTTTAAGCAAATCGAATCAACTCGGTCGTCCGAACGCAAGCCGGACGTTATACGCGGCGGCCTCAGGAGTTGTTCCGAGTTACACACGCTATCGCGCGCGCGGTTCGTTTGCAACACGCATCAACTCGAGTTGAGTGAAATGTAAAGTTACGTTTCACGCGCGCGCGCCGTTCGTAAGGTGTTGCATCTTCTTGTATCTTGTATCTTGTATTAACTGATGTTTTTGCTTTCAGTCCCGAGACTATTAAAGCTTCATCGGACGCAGAACCGGTGGGCTAGCCAGAACCCACGGGTTTGGACCCTCCGCTATGGGTAGGGTCGCGCATGTGCTCAATTATGGTGTGTCATCTAAGGGCCGTCGAGGTCGCGGTTCGGACCGAGACCCCGATGGCCGTCGACTGTGCATTTAGCTAATCGGTGGCTGGGGGCGGTGAAAACCGCCCCGCAACGCGGGTGTACCTTGTGTACGCGTTGAGTGGGTCTCGCCGTGCTCGGAGGCGAGGGCGAACTGGTGTGATTGTTGTTACACTAACTGTGGGTGTAATGTTATCCGGCGGGACCCCCGGCGGTGGGTCCATCGTATCTAAGTCCTCTTCGTCGACCGGGTCGATGAGGACGTTTCGCGGGCGACGCTTGTTTACGTTCGCGTTAGTGTCCGGTTGGTAGTTTGCTGCGCTTACCACCAGAGGGTTGGGATGATGCTGGACTCTATCGAAGAACCGTTTTGTCAAATCTTTAAAATGTGTGCGAATCGTCGGGAGTCTGCAATCGCTGTGCAGGTCGACGTTGCGCTGATACCACTGCGCACCGGTTGCGCGGACGGATAAACTTATTTTGTACTATTTGCAACTTGTACAAGCGAGTAGGGTGCGTGTGGGCGAAGATCATGCATGCGTAGGACATAATAGGTCGTACGCAGGTCTTATATAATAATAATTTGTGCCTTAAGGGCATTTTACTTTTAGCATAGTTAAATTGTGTAGCCGGCCGGAGACGAACGCGGCTCTATTACGAACGTTATTAATGTGCGTAGTAAATGACATACGCGAGTCGAAAGTGACTCCTAAGTATTTGACCTTTTTCTCCCAGGGGAGCGGTTGGCCATAAAGGGATATTTGCCCCCAACTTTCTGCATTGGCGAGGGCCATTATAAAGATGTGCCGGGTAGGTACTTCGTGTGAAGTGAATCGCCACACTCTTTTCGGGATTTATTTCTATTCTCCATTTGCGGAACCAATCGCCGAGGCGGTCGGCGGCGCTTTGGAGTCGAGTGGTTAGTATTCTAAGGTTGCGGTCTGAATAAAAGAGCGCGGTGTCATCCGCGAAAAGCGCGAGATTGACGTGGGGGTCTTTGGGTATGTCGCTCGTGTAGAGCGTAAAGAGCAAAGGTGAGAGGCAGGAGCCTTGTGGTACGCCGGCCGTGAGGCGGCGGCTTGTGGAGAGGGTGCCCTCGACTCGATATCGAAAAGAGCGATTAAAACAAAAAGGCCCGGATGGTGTGTACGAGCCTATCTGGCACTTTGAGTGTGTACAGCTTGTAAAGCAAGCCGTTGTGCCAGACTTTGTCGAATGCTTTTGCGACATCGAAGAAGAGAGCCCCTGTGCTGATGTGTTTGGGGTGGTTTAGGCCTTTTAGGATGTGCTCCGTTAGGCGGTATAACTGGTCGGGACATGAGTGTCTAGCTCGAAAGCCGAATTGTTCCGACGGCAGAAGACCGTTGGAAAATACGTGCTCTTTGAGCCTGTTTAACAAGATCCCTCGTAGAGCTTCCCCAGGCAACTGAGGAGGCTGATGGGACGATAGCTAGAGGGCTGATTAGCTGGTTTATTCGGCTTGCGAATGCCGATAACCGTGGCTTGCTTCCAGTCGTCCGGAAAAGAGCAACTGGAGAGAAGGGTATTGAAAATGGTCGCCAGTAAACAGATAAGCGGCCCAGGGAGAGCTTTGGGAATTTTATTACTTATATTATCTGGGCCCGGGGCGGATTTTGGTTTTAAATTTTTAATAATATCTTGGACCTCTTCGGGGGTCACTGAATTTAAAGGTTCTCCTTCCGGTGGAAGCGCAGCCCTAGTCTCGATTATGTGGTCCACCTCCGTTAGGTGGACTGAATCGGTGTGTTCGCGCGATGGCGTAAATTGCTGCTCTAGGTTGTCCGCAAGGCATTCGGCTTTTTCGGAGTCATCTAGGGCTACTGAAGCGCTATTAGGTCTAACTAACGGCGGTAGAGATTCGCGGGGGTCTGCTTTCAGACTGCGGGCCAACCGCCAGTAGGCGGTGTGCGATGGCTCGATGTTCTCTAGGAGAGTGTCCCACGTTGTGTGTCGGTGTTCCGATACACGATCTTTGACTTCTAGCTGAAGGCGTCGAAGTAGGGTTCGGTTCGATTCCGATCGGTATCGGTCGAAGGCGCGTTTGGCTGCATTTTTCTGTCTAATTAGCAGTCTTAGGTCGGGCGGAAAGTTAAACCGTCGGTCGCCCGACAATTTCACCGTCCGTTCCGAGTCTGTGACTGCGGAAGTAATAGATTTTCGAAGACTCGCTATCGCTCGATTTGCGTCATCGAACGTAGCTATCGTCTCGGGTAAGTCTACTAAGTCCTGGGGGTCCAAGGCCTTGAGTTTGACCTCAAGACGATGCCAGTCCACTACGGATTTGGTCGGAGGGACCGCGCCGGCGTTCTGGCCCAGTTTACACAGGACGGGCTTGTGGTCTGAGTCTAATTCATGGATTGTCTCTATCGACTCGATGTCGAGCGAGACCTCCCTGAATAACATGATGTCTAGGACACTCGGTGACGCGTGTTGGTAGTTGTCCACCGTAGGATACCTAGTGGGAGTCGCGGGAGCGACTATGCTAAAGTTTAGGTTATCGGATAAGCTAAAGAGATGCTTTCCGTTGTTATTTGGGATGGTGTTGGTGTCCCATGAGCCGTGTTTGCAGTTTAGATCTCCTGCAATTATCACGGAAGGGCCTAAGTTAAGAAGCGTATCTAGGTCGCTTTGAAGTAAGGTTCTATTCCCCGAGAGGTAGGCTGAAACTAGTACAAGCGGCCTGTGGCCGGTGAGCGCTAATCTATCCGCGTGGATGCCTCTATTTGACTTAGCTCTGGAATGTCGAGCGGGCAACAGTGCAAGGACCATTTATAATAAATTAATGTGCCTCCCAGACGGTTTGCTAACCGGTCGTGGCGGACAATATTGTAATTTGCGATTCTGGGATCGCGTACACTAGGTTTCAAGAATGTCTCTTGCACTAGAAAAATATCTACGTTGTAGTCGCGAAGGAATTCAGCGATTTCGTCCCTTTGACCCTTTATGCCGTTTGCGTTGAAATACGAAACAACCAGAGCCCGAAGGTTTTGTTCTACCTGCGGTTGTACTTCCCATTAAGGTGTTTTTATGGGTCTAATTAACGACGCGGCGGAGCGCGGTTTTATTGCGCGACTATTGTCTTTTACGGTTGGCTCGTAAAAGCCCAAAGGGCTTCCACAAGCGTTTTATGTTGGCTAATTGCCCTAAGACGCTCGTTGCCAGATGTGGCGGCCGCTATTTTAGCGGACAATACGGCGAGTTCCTGCCTATTGATCCTATCTAATAGGCTGCAGATGTTTGCGATTTGCGCGAATGGGTCGTCCTTGTTTTCCGCGAAAACTGACGGAGTTGGCTGCACCTGCGGCCGTGGCGCCGTTTGAGAGGCGGGCAGCTGTTGTGCGATCGGTCGTGAGGCGACCGGGATTACCGGCGTCGTTACCTGCGCGGCCACCTGGGGTTTCGCCCAGGCGTTAGTGACGGAGGCGTTAGTGATCTTACTCGCATCAACTCGAAAGAACTCGGGTTGAGTCGGGCTCGTTCGGCTAGTATCGGAAACGGAATTGCGCAAATGAAAAACCGCTTTAAAAGTTTATTTTGTTTTTTGGTTGACATTTTGTTATTTGATTTTATTAGTTGGCCGTTGGCGATCCGCGTGCGAACTGACATTTTTGATTTGTTAGTGATCTGTTTTGTTTTGTTTGTAACGACGTCAAATAACAGAAGTGTGGCGTGGGAATTCTTTGCTATAAAAACAGAAACTTTTTTTAACTTTATTTTCGATAAGCAATCGACTATGTACAATTACATTTTACAAGTACGACTTTGAGGCGATAGATGGCGGTATTTTTTTGTCGTATTTTCTTAAACACGATGTTGAGATCTGCGCTGGAATAATATACACCTTTGTTGATTGATTTTCGAAATAAACATGCACACTAGTGCCAATTGATTGTAAATTTTGTCTTTGAAATCCCAACCGTCGGACACTGTTCGAGGTCGAGGTGTATAGAAAAAGGAGAGGATTAGTTCAGACCACAAACGAAGTTGCGAATCGACTCGAGTAGCCACATAACATCACGATTCAACTTTTAACGATTATTACTT